CACCTCTGTTTAAGGTTGTTTTTTTCTCTCTTAACATAGATGGCTTCCTTCCCACCCCTCTCAAACCACCTATTTTCTTTATCCAGAATGTGAACATTCTGCTCCTCAAGGATGTAAAAGGGACATTTTGCCAATGGAACAGGGCAATATACATTTAAAATAAGAAAATGGATTTGTGCATTTTATCTAAATATCTAATTTTAAGTAGTAAAGAGTAAAATTACTCATTCCATTTGCAAATTATCTAATTTACTTACTCAAATTAAGGGTAAATACACTTAATTTAAGAATTTTTAAACTTATTTCTAGATAATTTTTCCAGTGTAGCAGTGCTTTGCTCCATGTGAGAACATCTTAACATAAGTGACGACGGCTGCAATTTCTAGTTTGAGGAAACCACAGCAGAGACCAGAAGACATGCTTTTTAGCACATCTGCAGCCCTGCTGGCTGTTCAGTTTTAGGTCGACCTGCGGTGATGGCCACTGACAGGAAGTGAGCTCATTCAGAGCCTAAACCCGATCTGATCACTGGGTTAGTCTGTTAAAGATAAGCTTCAGTGTCTGTCTCTGCGGAAATGTTCAGTCATGAAGCAACAGCAACACTAGACTTGGACAACTTTTATTGTCATTTTGTATAAAACGAGATTTCATTTTGTACAGCTTTGACAGTAAATGAGCAGCAGCTTCGCAATGAAACGAAAATTTTTATTTCAAAAAGTGTAGCAGTGATCACATGTAAACAGTGTGGGAGAAAAACATGGAGATAAACGCAACAATATGGAAGTTCAGAGCATTTCAAGATGTTTATTTTTGGTGCGAATATGCAGAGTTTTAGTTTGGTGTTATGATTGTGATGCAGAGTCTGTGACTTCATTTATAGTTTTTTTTCAACAGTTCAGCAGTCTGATGGCAGTGGGGAAGAAGCTGTTGCAGAATGTGCTGGCCCTGCATCGAATGCTGTGAAGCCTCTGCTTCTGTAGAAGGTGGGGAGGATGGGTGGGGGCAGGTGGGCTCTCCTCATCCTCTGCAGGAAGTGCATGAGCTTCTGTGCCCTTTTGACCTGTGAGGTGGTGTTTAGATTCCAGGTGAGGGTGTCTGTGATGTGCACCCCCAAAAATTTGGTGCTGTTGACCACCTCTACAGCTGAGCTGTTGATGACCAGTGCAGCGTGGTCAGGCCGGTTCAACAATGATCTCCTTGGTCTTCTCCATGTTCAGGATCAGGCTGTTATCTTTGCACCAGCCCACCAGCTGCTCCACCTCCTCTCTGTAGTCCAGGTCGTTGTCGTCACTGATGAGGCCCACCACCGTGGTGTCGTCTGCAAATTTCACCATGTGATCGGTGGTGAACCTGGGGACGCAGTCATGTGTTTGGACTGACTGAGGTCTGTTGAGAGGAAACCTAGCAGCCAGTTGCGGGGGGTGTATTGAAGCCTAGGTGTTCCAGTTTTCCTATCAGATGCTGTGTGATGATGGTAATGAAAGCTGAACTGAAGTCCAGGAACAGCATCCGCACGTGGGTGTTCTTCTCCTCCGGGTGTGCCAGGCTCAGGTGGAGAGCAGCAGAGATGGAGTCCTCAGTGGAGCGGTTCCGTCTGTAGGCGAACTGGAACAGGTTGAATGTTGGCAGCAGATTGGAGACGATGTGTTCTTTGATCAGCCTGTCGAAGCGCTTCATCACGATGGGAGTCAGTGCGACAGGCCAGTGGTCATTGAGTGAGGTGACTTGAGGCTTTTTCAGCTGACCTGCACACTCCTTGTACACCAGCCCAGGTATCTTATCAGGGCCTTCCTTGGGTTGACTCTCCTCAGAGTTTTCCACACATCAGCTGAGTCCAGGTTGAGTGCCTCCTCTCCCCGATGTGGACCATGCTGAGGTTCTTTCCCCCGGTGTTACAGGGAGTTCTGCAGCTGCGTCATCCTCTGATCTGCAGATTAAACCAAGCCCACGGCTCAGGTTCAGAGTAACAACACTACAGCTCGGCAGCAATAAAATCGGCAATAAAATCAGATAATTTCAACGTTAAAAAGGCAGTTAAAACAGACATGCAGCCGAGAGCATCCGGGCTCCTGTGCTCCAACCAGAGCTCTGCAGAAAGCTGCTGAGGTGAGATGAGTTTAGATCTGAAGTTCAGATTTGACTGGCCTGACTTTGCTTTTCTCTGTCACTGATTTCCTGTTTTTTTCGTCTCTCATGAGAAACAGAAGCATGGAGGATGTTAAATATCATCATCTGTTCTGCAAAAGAAGGGAAACCCAAAGTAAAGTAAAATAATCAACTTAACAACTTTGTTGACCATAAAACATGAAGTTAATAAACACTAAAGAGCCAGAAGTCCAACAACAAAAGCCTGTTTATTCAGTTAGAGGAGGAAGAACGTGATGGCTTCATTCCCTCATCCATAACTAAAGCAATCAAGAGATCAGAGAAATGAATTACTGATAAGAAGGGAAGAAGGGCTGAAGGGAGGAAAAAAAGCAACAGGTTTTAGTAGCAAAGGGTTGGAAAGTCAAGAAGGAAGGAAATGAGGAAATGGAAGAAATTTGCTACACAGGAGAACAATAAAGGGAAAAGAAAGGAAGAAAAAGGGGCAGGACACAAGTGAAGGAAGCAAGGGTTCAAGAAAATAACAGGAAGAAAGAGAGAAGAAAAACTGGGAATGAAAGGACAGAAGGGAAGGTGGAAAGGGAGGAAGAACAGGAGGATGAAAGGGAAGGTAGGTTCAGGATGGAAAGGAGTAGGAAGCAGAAGAAGAACAAAATAAAATGGCAGCTGATGGCAAGCTTCGTCATCTCAAGCTTCTGGTTCTAGTGAAGGTTCTCAGTCATCCAGGATGTGGAACGTTTCACATGGAGAAAAGAACAAACCATCCTGACCTGGATGGTTGCAGCCGAGGACGTTTGGCTTTCCTCCTGTTGGCCACTTATATCATCATAAATAATTAATCAGAAGTCAGGACTTCTGGTTCCTTGGTCCTCATCAAAGTCTCATCATTGGGACTTGATTATAGTTAAATATCCAGCGGAAACAGCTGGATCCATTAGCAGATGTCCTGACTGCAGCTGCGAGGTTAATCTTTGAGCCAGAATTTAAGTACATTCAATTAAGTTCAGTTCCATTTATTTTTATAAAGCCATTTCCAAACACTTGTCGTCTCAGGTCACTTTACAGAGACAATTTTTCTATCTAAGGAAAACCAGCTGATTGCATCGACTCATTGACACTTCAGCAATCCCTCACACCAAGAGAAGAATCTCATTGATGTTGCTGGGATCAATCCATCCGAATGTCTGGGCCTGTTGATGTCTGGGCCTGTTGATGTCTGGGCCTGTTGATGTCTGGG